TAGCGCCCACTCCCGTGTAAACACAGCTCTAGGCGCTTTACATAAATGCATGTACGAACAATATTCACGCACGCGACTCACACACACAAACACAGACACACACACACTAACACACAAGTGAATAAGCACGCAAAACGTACGTTGCAATACAGCACCATAATATGTTATCATCATACTTCACTTCCCGATCCCAGAATTCTCCTGTTTGAGTTCATGGTACCGGTGATACAGATTGTGCTCTTCTGTGTGTGTATTGGGCGTGAACCCCGCCAAATTCCCGTCAGCATCGTAAACCAAGACGTTGACGATTTGGGCGGTTTATTCATCGGATTTCTTAACAATGAAACAATGAACAAGGTAAGACATAACAATAGTTTGATTACTTTTGTTCTCAGAACAATATGTTTCTTGTAGAAAAAGAGATACGTGAGGCATCGTGGTGGAATCAGGCGCTCGTCAATTTTTGGGTATGTGGAGTTATTGGTATCATCTTAAAGCTTGTTCACTTGCCTTGATTTGGATGAAAAATATATCAATTTACCTTGAATACAAGTCGAGATATTTGCGAATGAAGGAGGTGGGGGTCACCTGTTTTCAGAAGTAAAGTTAGTGAGAAAATGGCCTCCAAAGATTAGTTATTTCCTTAGCTTAAGAGTCCGTGGTAACTGAAAATTTACATTTTTTGTGCCTTTAATCATCGTTTTTCAGAAATATCCACACAAAATTTTGATAAAAATTCACAAACCTGCGGGAAAATGCCAGTTTCTTTACTTTGATTATTTTGACGAGAGCCTGATTCCACCACGCTGCCTCACATATATCATTATGTCTACATTACAAAACCATTGTCTGCGTTACAAACTCCAATACTTAGGTAACAAAACCAACGTCAATGTTAAAAAACCAACGTTTATGTTACAAAATCAATGTCTGCGTTACTAAACCAATATCTTCGTTACAAAAACCAATGTCTACATGGCAAAACTAATGTCTACGTTACGTAATCCAATACCTTCGCTATAAAAATCTATGTATCTGTGTTTCAAACCATTGTCTACAGAACAGAAACCAATATCTGTGTTAAAAAACCAATGTTCATATTATTACGAAAGCAAACAGCCTGTGTCTGTTGCCGTATCCCAGGTTTTTCGCGATGATCTCCCCTCTGCACTGGGTGACGTGAGAGCTGGACAGAGCTGGTGTGCTCTCCATCTACCCGAGAACTTCTCTCTAGAGCTCATGAACAGGTGAGGGCTCAAACAAACGCTTACTGTGTGAACGTCTAAAATAATAGGCTTTCGCTCTAACTGTTGATTCCCTTCCCCCCCCCCCCCAAACCAGGCAGTGCTGCTGACTGAAGTGTCTTTAGACCATTCCCAAAGGGGGTATATTAACATGTTCTTATGCACAGTAGAATTGTATATGGGCTGATTTATCAATGGCGTGTTTATACTGTACAGGGGCAACATAGGGCGAACTGCTGCTTTTTCTTTGCTCATCCTTACTATCGACATTTTTTACTCTACTTTTTGGGTATGTTTGTCACTCTTGTGAACTGCTCTTTCAGGCGTGCCTTGATAGTCGAAGCAGTCTTTGTTCTGTTGAGGCTAGAGAGGTGAGCAGAGTAAGCATGATTCCACGTTTGGACTTTTCTGTTGATATCCACCCCTTGGCATTCATATGACCTTATGCAGTTGCGAGCGCTGTAAAACCGTACTAAAACTAAACTAAAAACCAATGCCTCCTGTATGAACAGTTATTTAATAGGCGTTCGCTCAAACTGTAGATTCAGGTTTTGGTTTGATGTTCGGTATTTCAGTTCGACAATTGGACATGAACAGTTGAACGAATCAAACTAATGATCTGACATTGCGCAGCAGTGATTCGTCCAGTGCCCCACGCTGCAAACATAGAGGTAGATAAAGTTGATCATATTAATAATAATGAAGATCATTTCTATAGCGCCCACTCCCGTGTGAACACAGCAGCTCTGGGCGCTTTACATAAATGCATGTACGAACAATATTCACGCACGCACAAACATGCGCACGGACACACACACACACACACACACACACACACACACACACACACACACATACATGCGCACAAACACACACACACACACACACACACACACACACATACATGCGCACAAACACACACACACACACACACACACACACACACACATACTCGCTCGCACACACACACACACACACACACACACATACCAACACACAAACACACACACACACACACACACACACACACACACACACACACTCTGGCACATATTACACGCACACATGTGCACATACATGATGACGCACTAATTTTGAATGTAAGAAGTCATAATTAAGGAATTTCATCATCTAGTGGACGAGGTCAGTGGTCATGGACTACTATTTCATCTTGGACAAGGGAACTGTGTCTTCAGCAAGGCCAGAACTTCCTAACCTAAAATTAGTTATATGCTTCTATACAAATTAATTGTTGCTTCAGATTGAAACAATTACTATTCTTTGATTTATATGTATAATAATAATATCATCATGTGGGCTACAGTGGCTAAGTGGTTAGTGATCTCTTCTTCACGATAACATCATCATGACATGTCCATGATACGGGGTGGTCACTGGGGTGCGTGTTTGAGTAAGACACGATAACATCATCAATCATCAATGCCTTTCTCCCCTGGCAGGGTATATGCCATATACAAGCTCCTTCCATTAATCCCTGTCCGAGGCCATCCATCCAAGCTCGTTCCTAGTGAGCTTCATCTCATTCATGTCCGTTTTCACACATCTCATCCATGTTTCATGAGGGCTACCCGTGCCTCGTGCTCCCTGTTGGTTCCACTGCTGTGACTCACTTGTGATGGTTCCGCTTGGCTTTCTGAGGGTGTGTCCCATCCATCGCCACTTTCGTAGTCCTATTTCTACTTACTGCTATATCCTTTTGTTTTGTCATTTCCCAAAGCTCTTCATTTCTTATTCTATCCTGTCACTTAGTTAATAGGACACTCCTTATACATCTTTTAGAGAAAATCTGGACTTCATTAAAAAAAGACGCGATAACCTTGGTTCAAAACCATGGTCGCTGCACAGTGGCGACAAGCAATATTGTGTGGATTGCTTGTGTGTGTGTGTGTGTGAGTGTGTGTGTGTGTGTGTGTGTGTGTGTGTGTGTGTGTGTGTGTGTGTGTGTGTGTGTGTGTGTGTGACACTTGTTTACTTTTTACTGTTTCCTTCCTCTGGTATCCTTAGGGTGTCAAGGGGGTGTATGTGATAGTACGTATTATGCACGTATACATATTGTAATGATATATCATCATCATCATCATCATCATCATCATCATCATCATCATCATCATCAGGATATCCCTAACTCACATTCCATCTTACGTACCAGATTAGAAGACGGTCTTCACGCGACGAACGAGACTATCCTTGGCAGCTCCATCACTCTGTATCAGGACTTTACCAGTAAGTCGTCGCTACCTTAGAATTTCAAAGTTCTTTAGCGGGCTCCAGTGGCAAAGTGAGTAGTGAGTTGAGACTCAAAAGTATTTCTCAAGAAAGTATCGGTGACACGACGTAGTTTACATGTGTGGTCACTGCGGTGTGTTCTTTAGCAAGACACGACAACTCTAGCTTTAAAAAAAAACAGGGCTCTGTACAGTGAAATCGTTGTATATTGGTGTAATATTGTGTAGTTATGTATGTATAATGAGTATATATTTATTTATGTATGTATTTAAAATTATGTGTTTATGTATATAGTGTGTATTATGTTTGCCATTGTGAATCAAATTGCCTTTCTGGGATCAAGAAGAATGTAATGTATAATTCATTTGTTTCTGTCTGACATTTTTCGGCGGTATGAGTTACTGAATATGAGTCTATCTGTAGTATCAAAATCGTAGGAACATTCGGATGTTATCAAGATTTTCAAAGAATCGTATTCGACAAATCTTGACACATTGTGAGACTCAAAGTTTTTTACGTCAAATTTCCCAAAACTAGGTACTGGGCAGATAGATCTTTATAATTCTAAGGTATTTAACTAGCCCCGTTCCCCTGTACAGAGGTTTCGGTGGTGTAGTTGTTAGGCTTTTGGGCTTAAATTTGAAGTGAAAGGTCGTTGGTTTTTAACCCTTCGATGGCCCGATATTGTGTTATAAAATGGCAAGGTACTTTACACAAACTTTCCACACTTCACCTAGGTGGGAATGGGTATTTCGCTAGAGGCTTTGAAAGATACTTTTGACCGTTCGTTAGTGTCAGGGTGCTTAATCGGCCGCTTACACTGTATGGTTCCCGGGAGGCCGAGAACGTTTCAGAGTGTTCTCAGGTCTACCTGGGTAATGTTGATTATAATGTCCGTAGAGTTGCTCTTTAGTATGGTTATGCGTGATTATTCCTTATCATTAAGTTTCACACAGAACCAGTCCCCTTTTCTATATTATGCGATTTGTTATCTTCATTATTTATGTATTCAATGTATTATATTGAAACAAAAAAGTTACCCGTTAACTAAAAAAATCCAAGTTTCATGACCCCTGTTCTAAATGCATAATTAATTTGCTAGTCATTCTGTCGTTCGTTTGTTTGTTGTTGTTTTTTGTGTGTGTCCACGTTTGCAGCGCTACATCACAGTCATCTCTTCACATTGCAAAGGGAATTTGCACATTGCCATAGTTTTTGAATGCTGTTGACCATTAGAAATAGTTTTAGCCCTGGGAAAAATGAAGCTCTTTCTGATTTTGACTCGTTGCTACTTACTTTACGTTTACTTTTTCATCATCTGTTGCCGTTGAGCTTTGAGGGGAGATGCAGTTTTATATGTTCAGTCCGTGTATTCTCCTTTGTTTTTCTGATAGCATGATTAAAATCTATCCGGCGTCGGCTTCCTAGGCCAGTCACGGTTTCACCAGAGCCCCTTTACTTTAGCCAGTAACGTATCGGGGTGACCCGGGTCGGCCTTCACAGCTAGCGTAACACCTCAGTGACTTAAAGTCTCACCGTACTTCACCCAGACCCAGCAATTCCCTACTTTGTTCTATTTCCACCTCTCCCTGCGGGGACTAAGGGCCTGGGTCCACTGCGACGGACACTAACCAACCCGATTCCGTCCATCTCTCGGAAAGTCTGTAATTGAAATGAAGCACAGTTTCTTTCCTAAGAAATCAGTGAAAATTCGTTTGGCTGTGTCAACATACACGACACGACACGCCCTGACAAAAGACATGTTGGTTGGAAAGCCGCTTGCTGCATTTAAGCCGGGCCGGGTGGTGACTCATCAGCTATAGGCCTCGCCGGAGCTTTAAAAATATTCTACGATTATAATTCTAATCTCATATTCGTAATCAGGGCCTCAAAATTAGCAAAGTCTACGCGCAAACCATGTTTTTTAAATGAATATTAATAATTTTACCAATTATCTTTTAAAATCCATACATTTCTTTTTCCTGCGTTGGGTTCATGTGACTTCTTGTCTGTTTATAGCCCCGACCGATTTTCTTCCTGTCGACAAAAAATCGGGCAATGTCCGTCTCAATGGACACGTAGACTGAGGGTTGGACTTTGGGAGGCGGCTCGTTGTTTATTGTTTAAAAAGCACCCTTCTTGAACATACACGTTTAAGAAAAATGTATACTGCCAAGGTCACTGCATTCAAAAGCAATGGCGATTTCACACGTGCAGATAAAAAGAAATGAAAATCTCGAAGCCACTCCAAAAGATTGCATGCAAAACAGCTGGGCAAAACAGTTGTCACTTTTTTTTGTGTGGGTTTTTTTTTTTTTTT